GAGCGGCCCCACGCGCGGCCCTCTGCCCGGTGAGCCGGCAGGTGCCCGTTGAGCCAGTGCCTACAACACAACCCACCACAAAGCACAGAGATCACTCCCTGCCCCGAGAAGGGCAGTTCCATTAGTGCCTCGCAGCCGTTTTGCTGCCAGCCCCAGCACTGCCTGGCCATGAAGCAGCCCCATAATCAGCACGGGGATCCTGCAGCCAAGTCTAGAAAGCTCTAGCTCAGTAAACAGCTAATTCACTTCACACCTTAACTGCTTCTGCAGCAGAGCAGCACTGTTTGTGACAGCCCCTTCAATAAGGGATATAGGGCCAGACAGCTGAGAAGCAGAATGTAAGGCAGCAGGTGCCAGCAGTCCCTTCAGTTCCTAAACCAGCTTAGGTTACCCTACTGCAACACAAACCTACCCCTTCTTAAGCTACCAAGGGCTGAGCTGTTGATTCTAGTTAAGAGAGGTGATCAACAGTTATGTGACAGCTTGTGGGTGGACTGCCCTCGCTGCCCCACTCTATAAGGCTGGAGCAGCTCTGCTAACAAACGCCATGACACAAGGGAAACTTTTCCAGACAGCCCTCCCTAGTTCTGGTTCAGAAAGTTACTTTTGAGCCAAGGCAGCCCTAGCAGAGACACAGGTATCCACGCACAACAGAGACTAGGCTAAGGGCCATACAGCAGCTCTGGGAAGAGGGTTTGATAGGGCAGATCCCTGTCGCCGTGCGCCAATGCAGAAAGCAAGTCCCGGCTGCCCACAGCACCAGCTGCTAGAAGCACAAGGTAAGAGGCAAAAAGCTCAACTCAGACCAGAGTCATCAGTTGGCATCTCTGCCAAAAAGACTGAGCACTCACTGCAGGAGGCAAACTCACACCAGAAGAGTGCATCAGCTCTCACCCAAAATACTCATTTGGAGAGAAGAAGCCTGGCTGCCTCAGGGGCAGGAGGACACAAGAGATATTAGTCCCTGCGACGCAGCTGCTCCTAGGGTGGGACAGGGGACACACAAGCAGCTAGCGACTCCCCTGTCACCAAGGCTGCGCTCAGCTACTTGCACTGGAAGAGATCAAGAAGCACAAAAGAACCATTAGTCTACTCCAGGCTTTTTCAGAAAAGGGTAAAAAAAAAAATCCTGTGGTGTTCTTTTGGGGAAAAAGTTCTAAGCAACTGAAGGCTGCTCTATCAAAGAGGCAGAAATACAAAGGCCAAGGTCTTCTCTGCTTTCAAGTATTTGATAGTGTATAGGACTGTGTGTGTGTATATAGATATATATATGGAGACAGATATCTGTATCTCCATTGCAGGGGATCAGGAGAAAGCTGTGCACATGTGTATGTTAAAGGCAGTACAGCAGCTCAAAGCTCTTAATTATGTTGCTAGTGGGGGGTCAGTTTTCCTCATGTGTGGACTTTTCACCTTGCTCTTCCCTCTTGCAAACCCAGTATTAGGCTGTTACCTTAAGTGTTCAGTAGTTAGTCAGACACAAACCAATCGCCACCTTTGCAAGCTTCCAACCATGGGAAATCTAAACCACCCCCCTCCCAAGGGTGGAAAGAAAGGAGAACCCTTCAAAGCTGAAGTCTCTATAAGAGAGAACTATAAGGAGTCACTTCACCCCTGTCCATTACCTTTTTGCTCCAAAGTTCCCCCCCCCCCCCACAAAAAAAAACAAAAAATTTCCCTACTTTCCAACCGTGGACAGTTGATCTCCTCTTCCCAGCTACTTAGCCATACAGGAAAGAATAACAGAGAAAGCAAGTGCTCAGCAGCATGAGACTGCAAAGTTCAAATCAACAGGCAAATGTGCTGTTTTCTGAAGCTACTGGTTCTCTCTCAGTCTAAATGGCGTTTATTACCTGTACCTACCACACTGGATGCGGAGGCATTCAAATTCCCTGTGTGACCTGACAGCTTTGACTTTCAGAAACCAGCCCAAAAAGCCCAGAGCAGGAGTCATAAGAAACTTCTGTTTCCCCAGCTGGCACCAACTGCTTGAAGATTTTGCCCAGACAGTGCAGTTCCTATCAAGGACAGTCAGTTCGAAGAGTCAGTATCACACACAGACTATTCATGTTTTCAAGCTTATGGCAGCAACTCCTGGGTGCTACAGTTCTAACAAAAACAGAGATTTCTAGAGCATTTTCCTCATGCCAACAGCTGGTCCTGTCTTCCTTCTCCAACTTAACCCCCCAAAAACACACAAGACAGAACATGAGCTGCCTTATCTCATAGGACACAGTTCATTTCTTCAGTGTAGCCTCCTGGATGACTCATTTTAAGGGGCTTACCTTGCCAGGGATAAATGACCACTCATTTCAGTGTTAGATGCTTTTATTTTGTGCGATCAGTGCAAGTTTAACACCAAGACTACCACCATCTGTGCAACACCTTTCGCAAGCCTATTCTTACAAATATACAGTAGGTACAGCAGAACAGATCCAAACAGTATTGTTCAACCTTCAAGAGACATGAAGCCAATGCAGAGGAGAAAATACAGCTATTCAAGTATCTGATCACTTAGAGTTTTGTTTTGGGAAAGGTGAGAATGTCAATCTACTTTAAATATTAGCTTTTGTCCTCAATGACCCTGCACCTAGTTTTTATTCTTATGACCCAGTTTTTATTCTTAGTTGCACCAGCAGTCTATTTTAGTACTTAAACAAGAACCACGTGACCAAGTGTTCCAGTCCAACCCCTCACATGGAGATGCACGATGCAAGTTTCCTTTAGTGACAGTGCATGTTTTTATACATATTTATTTTATGTAGTTGATTACAAGTGTTGTGTTCCCAGCACTACAGTTTCCGTGAAGCCTTTTACCATACCCTCCCACAGAACCCACTAACTCAACTTGAAAAGATGTTGTTTATCATTAGCATAAATCAGAAGAGAAATATGAAATTCAAATGAAATTCAGTTTACTCAACCAGTACCCAGCCCACTGGGATAGGATAGCAGTTATGAAACAATATTAACATATAGTTGACAAAAAAGAAACAAGAGAAACCACATGCAAGGAGTGAGCTTACACACCTCTCAGGGTCACATTCCTTGAGGTACGTAGTGCGGTGCAGGGTTAGGTGAGGTAATATAGCTGACTTGGTGCAGTGGTCCAGAACTTACAGCATTAGGAATTCGGGGAGAATTCCCATAGGACGGATTTACTGGATGCCAAGAACTAATGTAGTGGTAGGTAGGTACTAAAGAGATACAAGAGTCAAACCCAGGGAGAGGCGGCTGGTTGAAGGGATCCGACACCACTGGATAATACACTGTTCCATGGGACGGGGGTGGAGGCTCGGCATTTTGAAAGTGACCTTAAAGCAAAACAAAATACACCCTAGACAGAATTGCCATATTTTAAGCTTTGTAAAAATTTTTATACAGACCTTCATTGCCATGAATGGTGTTAAACCAGTGGCAAAAGGGAAAATCCATTTAGTGACAACAATTCTGTGCCCATATATACCCCTCCCAGTGCAGGTCTTGAAACTAGAAGGCAACTTAGGAAATTCTTGAGCAGTTTTATGAAGATGAGTAACAGCAGCCTATGTTGAGAGGCAACTTTTCAAGAACCACCAGGTAAAATATGATATTCTTCCCCTATTTAACCTTTGACTACATACGAAACTGAAAAAAGGCAACACACACACACACACACTTCAGCTAGCAAAAATATTATCAGAACACCATTAAGCCTTTTTCCTCTAAGCAATCATTTTGTTCTCATATACTCTTATGCAAACAGTCAGTATTGGAAATTTCACACATTTTAATGAGGCAGGCATCTGCCCTTTCTGACATTTTTTCCTCATTTAATGCAATCTTCTTATTTACTACCAAATGTATCTGCAGGCCTGTTACAAAGCTGCTAGGCTATGCTAAATTTTGCTGTGAGTTTTATGCAAAATAAAAGGCATTGCCAGAAATAATGGCTACTTAGAAGGTAGCAACTGAGCATGCAGTGGTTGGAAAAAAAGGTATATTCCACAAAAAAAAAAAAAAAAAAAAAAAAAAAAGAAGAAAAAAGAAAAAGAAAAAACCTATGGAGTGCAAGTGCCAGAGCACAGAACTTGCCAAAGCTGGACTGTTTCCTTCACTGCACGCATATGCAGTGATTCAATACCTTGATTATCAATAAGAACGATAAACTAATATCAGACAGACATATCTAGAAAAACTTTCTAAAATTGCTTAAGTAGTGTACCAAGCTGGAAGAGATTGTATTTTTCTTTCTAGCTTTACAAAGCCCTTGACATTAGTGACAGTAGCAGCAATGCTGACATAACCATGAGGAGCAGCAGGGATAGCAGAGGAGCTACAATGCCCCATTACCCCCAACCAAATGCTTCCCACTGGATAACAGGCTGTTACTGAGCAGTTGTAGTCTAGAAATCCCTGTTCTAGCTTCTCTTAACTCATGCATGTGGTCTTAAATACTAACCATTGGCAGGGGTTTCCAGGGGAACTGGATGGACTTCAGGACGCCCCGTATCAGTGTAGAGTTGAGGTACTGGCTGCTCCAGGATGGGAGCAGGCTCGGGATATGCTGGATAAGCTTCCACAGCTGACGGTGGCGGCACTGGCTGTACGTACACCATGGAATGCCAATAGCTCTGATGATAATACTTCAGAAAGAAGGGAAAAATATCAAGGCCATGGCCACAAACATAGTCTCCATCCCTCCTCCAGATACCTTCATTTTCAAATCTAAAAGTAGGAGGCATATTTTCCTATTTTTAAGATGATGATATACACCCTCCTCCCCCCTTCCCCCAAAAACAGGCTGCCAGAAAAGTTACTGCAAAATCCACGAAGTCAGTCACCTATTTTGCTTCCAGATCCAAGTTGTAGTGCCTTGTTACACATTTTACAGAGAACCAACATGTCCATCTTACTGACTCTCTCATATTCAGAGACTTATTTCTCCAGCTGAAGGAGCTTTTTACCTGCCTGTATAGCAGCCCCTACCCCACCTGCTGTACTAAGGACAACTCTTAACCACAGCAACAACTTCAAGAACACTAAGTGGTGGTAGCCAGTCTGAACACAGCTGTACAGGTCCCAGAGTGCTCGAACCACAGATGTCAGTGGTGTTTCATGTGCACATCCAGTTTTCCTCAAAGGAGGAGTTTAAACTGTTATCTTCATGAGAGGGACAGTATTTATCCACTGCCCTCTGAAAAAAATCAAAAAGAAACTAGATGTACTAATGTATTTTGTGATTTGGGTTGAACTTTCACTTCTTGAGCTCTGCTTTAACTCCTCCAAGAAAACCTGTATGTATTAATAGTCAAGTGCACAGGATACACATTTAGCACACTGCTAAGCCTCTAACACATCAGTACATCTGTCAAGACAAGCAGCAGTTTTTACAGGCAATTTACTGTAGTCATTTTAAAAGCACTTACTTGCAATCCCAGATTAAAATAGTACTGCAAAACCTTTGTATCTGAAATTAAAGGACATGACATTAGTGAGAACAGAAGAGTATGGAATGGGAAGTAACAGAAATTCACACACATTAAGAGCACTTCATTTTAAGCCATTTCTGCAAGTAAAAATATTTAATCCTTACACTTTCAGTTTTTCTGAAAAGTTTTATCTTGCATATCACAAGATTTGAGCTATGCATCTTTCTAGGTAAATTAATCCAGTACAACATATGTTACTCTGTCTATTCAACTTTGAATCAGACTTCAATGATTATGTTAACTTTGATTCTGGTTTATTCATCTTGATCACTCAACTGATAATAGACAGTTACATGGTTCCACAGAATACCAGCACTTTGATTAGCAGCTCTGACTTCCTACTAAAGCTGGGTTTTCAGAGGAAAAAAAAAAAAATAACACTCAATCAGAACCTGAAAATAACCACACTGGGTTAGCATGTGAAAAAAGGGTCCAACTCATCGAGATTCCAGGTTCATGCTGCTTCCTACCGTCTCCAGCTTCCACGCTTTTGAGCGATAACCTTACAGAGAAACATCAGCTGGGACAAGACATGTAGCAATCCCCAACCTGAAGGATTAGACTTTGATTCCTCCCATATTGATTTGATCTAAAGGAGATGTTCCTTCCTTCGTCTTCCTCATGAGGATCAAAGGATACCCACTTTCCTGCCTTCTTGCAGTTGGCCTTCTGCTTCAGTCATCCAAGAACTGAATAATTTGGCCCCAGGCAAATCTGTGATACTCTGACAAGAAATCCCAAAAGCACAGAGGGACTTTTAAACATCGAGCAAGAATAATAGTTTTGAACTTGGAAATGGATTTCCAACTATCCAAAAGAATTAAGCAATTCAAAAACTGTCAAGTTTGCCATGGGGAGAGGCAAGACAAGGAGGGGAACGGTGAAGAACAAGAGGAAAAGCACATTTTTCATCCTATGATGCAAAGCTGGTGCATACAGCGAGAAGAGTGGTTGATTTCTCAGTCTGGAAGGAAAAAAAAAAAAAAAAAGCATGCTAGTTAAATCAGGAATTGTGGATTCTTACTGTGACTATTTAGAATTTGCAGTCCAACCCACACGTTTTGCTGGTCTTTGACAGCACAAAAAATATTCTATTTTTAATACTGCACACACTGCTAAGTTATTTCTTATATATTCCAATTTCTGCTACTGCAACTAGTTGCAGTTGTTCTTTTCTGACTGCAACCATAACTGACTGTTTTGACCTATGTTTAAGCTCTCACGACTTCCACAATTTCTTGTTTAGTAAATCTAAGTCCTCACAGGTTAAGGAAGGACAGGCAGTAAAATATTAAAAATAGCCTTAAAACTCAAAAATGTGAGCTTTTATGCTTTTAACAACTATGTTCGCAATGAGTTTTTAAAAATCTGATTATCTTCTTCAATTATTTATGCAAATCTATGCAAAACAAGCATACAAGCAGAATGAAACAGCTGCTTCCTAGCAGAGCTAACAGTACAAAGGAGGAGCTGGGAGACTGAAGCGACAAACCCATACTGGAAACACTGACGTCCATGGAACACTGGAACAGAAGCAAGTACAGCAGGAGACCAGTTTTTGTTTATGTTTTTAGATGTCTAGAAATCAAGATGATCCTCAGCAAAACATGAAGCAACTTAATGAAGTAACAGCTACACTAAAAACAAGTTAGCCACCCTGACACAAAAATATGAAGCATGTGTTAGCTACCAGTAAAAGCTTGTGAGGAACTTTGTCCTCCTGCACGGTAAGGTTTTTACCTTACCGTAAGGTAAGCTGGAGTGGCTCTCAATCCCCATGATACTGCAGGAAAAGCTTCCTCTGGACACAGCAGTATCAAGCAGTCTTATCAACAGCTTCAACTACAAGGGAGCAGAGTCAGACACCTAAGCTCCTGCAGCAAACATGTTTTATAAGTCCAGACGCTATTGAAGGATCCAAGATGGTCTTAAAATTAAGACAGACAAATGCACAAATAAACACGAAGCACCTGGCTTGTTTTCCTCCCTTGTCTACTACCTTAGTTGCTTCCCAAGTCAGACTACACAAGGTCAAACATGAGCCCTGCTGGTACCTCTTAACACAGAGGCAGGCAGAACTACAGGTCAAGGATAGCTGAACAGCTTATCATCTGCTACAGTAATGATCCTGGATTTCTTCATTTAATGGCCATGAAGGTTGCACTGCAGCAGTGACAGCATAAACACTGCATGCAATTGCTTATCGACCATCAGCCTTGAAATTCTAAAAAAGTTCATCCCTGAAGGACACAGCAGATATTAGGTGGAGAGAAGAGCCGCAGGCAGGGACTGAAGAGGCTATTAATCCACATCCACTCCAGATTCTTGTCAGTACACTTAACACCCAATTTCCCCAAGTGCCCAAAGCCTCAGTTAAGGACATTCAACTAAAGTTGAACACAATTAACTCTGATGTGTGCTTAGTACCATCAGAAATGATCTTACTACAGTAGGAACATGAAAATTAGAATATTCAAGATCAATGGAGAGCACCTGCAAAAACAGTTACTGCAGTGGCGGTTCTGCATTAGCAATACTGAGCTAGCAGAGCTTGGAGCAGCCATGCCATAACACTATGCATCTTGCTTTCCTCCAGATCAGCTTCTGGCAAGAGAGGCATGTTGCATGGGGAACACGGCTGATAACCCATATCTTTTTTGGCCCAGAGCTGCTCTACAGCTATGGCCAGATACTCTTGGTAGCTGCAGTTCAGGGAGGTGGTATTTCTCTTATTTGAAACAGTCCCTCTGGGATTAGTACTTCGAAGACAGTCCCAGTCAGGGACAACAGAGCTACTTTAGATAACAGTATGTTGAATCAGGCATAAAAACAATTTGTGTTACCAGAATATTTTGTGTTACAAGTAATATACAAGCAAATAAAACCCATCCTTTATATTCTGAAGGTAGAAGCTAGTTAGCCTGAAATGCCTCATCAGCTGCAGAGGAAGGAAAATAGTTCAGGCAATTAGGTAGAGCTCATCTTTTGAAAGAGTGCAAAAAGGAAAGCCTGGATTTCGCAGACCATACATACATCTATGTATGTGTGTGTGCATGCACATATGTATATATACAGAGTACTACTTCCTCACTCACCCCTACATGAAAAGTCCTTCCCCACACCAGCAGTAGACAGGAAATACAGAAACTTGAATTCAGTGTAACAGGCTTTTAAAATAACATCTGCTGTACATACACAAGATTACTGAAGTAGCTATGGTGCACAGACATTCACCATATCCAACCCACCATGCAAGGGAGGCTCAGGAAGAGCACACACATTGCAAGCCGCATGCAGATCTATGCCCAGTGCAAGTGCAGGGAGCATGCAGGCCGCCCACCAGTTTTGCATTACTCCTCTTTAGGGCAGACTATAGCTTACCCCTAGCTTGGCCTCACTAATGCCAGAAATAGTCCCACTTAGAGGCCCCTGCCAGTCAGCCAAGAAAGGCAGAAATAGCTGAGACTGTTTCATGTGCTACAGTGGCAGCAGAGGTACAGCTGCAGCTGAACTCCAGACCACTTCTGCCCCCAGGCACTGCACATGAGGACAAGCTGAATGTTGCATGCAGAGGACAAGCCAGCTGAGTAACCAGTTTTGCTTTTACAGCCTTTCCCAATTTTCAAACCCTTGGTGCAGCTTGAGCCAATGCACTGTCAAAGGACATGCATGGGGAACAGACAGCATTTCTCTACTGCTGTCCAAAACTATAGAGCGAAGCAGTCCTTTAGCAGTTAGGGCAAGACTGCATCCCAGATCAGTTTTATCTGCTTCTTGAGATTAGTGCAGCAATCTGAAGGTGACACTCATGCCTCAGCTACTCTCCCAGCTAGCAAAAAAAAACACAAGCTATATAGCATAATAATAAGCAATACTTATCCCTGTGGCTGAGGCCCTTTGTGAGTGCTGCTGACAGCAGACGGCTCGATTCTTGGGTTATTAAGGAAAGCTCTCCCAAATTGCTGGCCCTGATTGAGTCTTGAGAGCCATGAAATTATTAACCCAGAAGGCAAATATGATGTGTGCTGCACTGTTCACTGAACTCAGCTGTTTGATACAATCTTGCATGATAAGCAGGTATTCTTAACCTGTAAGAGCAAGATGATTAATCAAGAATTGCTACTATTTTAGAAAAGAAGCCCAAGTTCAGCAGTCAGCTAAAGCTGAAAGCTAACTCGGAGCTGCTTTGCTGATAGATGCTATGCTGGTCTTTTCATACTTGTGGCTTCCTACCCAAAATCCAAAAGACCCTATTGTGATTTACAGCAGTATATGAGCATGCTGTATATCTGAGGAACAAAGCCCTATGCTTTATCCTTGTTTTACGATGCTAAAGATTGACATTGCAGAGTCACACAGGACAACCGCACACCAAGTTGTACAACAGCAGGACTTCACGAAGATGCACAACACTTAGCAGTTATCAGGAAAAAAATTACTCCACCCAGAGCCAGCAAGATATCAGCCATCAACACTCTTCCTTTACTATTTCTTTTTCCTTAGGATACTGTTTAAAGGCACAGTAAATCTTGTTCGAGTCTGATATTAACTTCCTATTCAGAACTAGGAATTAAAAACATTTTTGCCATAAGCATCAATAATATTCCCTCTGGCTCTCTGAGTTTCCCAAGAACTACTTCCTCTCACTACAGGTATTCTGCAAAGTTCACACGGAAAACACAAGTCAGAACCGTGCCACACAGCAGCATTAGCAGAAGCACAAAATGCCCCCTCATTACCTCGTGGTAGGTCACTGCCACTGGGATCACACGAGTACGGTGGAGGAGCAGCACCAGCATCTCCCACCTCACTGACTGGAGGAAGAGGAGACGAATAAACTGGGAACGGCACTGAAGAAACAGCTGCTATTAGAGGGAAACGGAGTCAACTAAAACTTGCAATGACATTTTAAGTGAGCAGCATGCTAAGTTACACAGTTAAGTATGTACTTTAGATAATCTCAGAGCTTAAACTTTTAGTAGTTTTCTTTACTAATCACTCCCATTTCATAAGAAGTTCCAATCTAACAAGGCTTAACTATATGTCTATACAAAAGTTCCATATTACAGTTGAATTGTGTTCTCTAGAACTGTTTCAATATTTGTTTGGGATTGGTAGAACAAGTGGAAGAAAAGGAAGGGAAATACAGTAACCAAAAATCTACATATTTCATCCCTTGCCTTAATATCCACCTCCTACCTGGCCTCCCTATAGAAGGGGGGGATACTAGGATTGGTTGCACTGCTGTTTGTGGAGGAACTGCTGTTGTGACACTGGCTTGAGTGGAAGCAGCAGAATTTGAGGAGAAAACTGTAGCTGGAGCAGCATTAACACAGGTGGAGGTTGAGATCACTGCAGAATTCACCATCACCTGCAGAAGAGACACAGCATCAGCACACTAACTCCAGACACTACCTTTGACAAAGGCTATGCAAGTTTTGGAATTAACATAGTTCAGGAATTAAGTCTCAGTTCATATTAGTTAGGACATCCAGAGCGCATCCAGCTACTTAAGTTATCTAAAATTGGCTTGAGAAATCCCAATCTGGAAATAGAGTTGCAAACACCTGCATTGCCTCTTCCCACCCTTCTGCTTTGCTTCTAAGTACAGGGGGTTGCATTCTTTGCTACAAGAGGGCAGAACTTGGAGAGACCGAGTGCAGCAGTCACCCCCGCCAAGGCTGCCCCACTAAAGCACAAGTTCTTACCTTCTGGGGATAACTGTAGGAAGCAACTCCTTCTTGAGGAGAGACAGACACCGTCCCTTCTTCCTGAAGGGATTGCAAAGCAAAGTGTGATCCGTTTCAGCGGCAGAGAATTCACAGAATTAGGAAGTTTTTAAGCTTTGGGTGTGTGTAACTGAGTGTGTGTATATAAGAACTATATATACACGCATACATTTATGTACACATGCATATATGAAAACAGAATCTTTAGTTACAGAAGTAATGCATGTCAGAGTGAAACTGGCTTAAGACTGGTGTTATACCCAATGTACCCAGCAGGTGACTGAAGGGAGAAGTCACAGCCCAAGAGCTAGTTTTAAGTAAAAAAGTCCAAAACTGGTTCTCTCAAAGATAAGATCTATACAGTTCCACTGTAGAGGAGTTAAGACCAACTGGAACACAGTGTCCAGCATAACATAATAAATGCAAGGGCTGTTTGGAGCAGGAAGAGTAAACAAGACTCAAATACATTAATGATTTTCTGCCTTGCCCTCCACAAAGAGGGCACATGCCTGGTACAATTCAGACTGTATTTGCTAACTCAGAGATTGGGGGAGGGGGGGGAGAAGAAAAAAAAAAAAAGGCCATAAGAGGAAGAGAGAAGGATAAATTAAATGAAACCATCATTCCTTTCTTCCAAAAATGGTCTCTGACCTGCTACAGTAAGCCTGCTTCCAAGGCCAATTTTTAAATAAAGAATGTCAAGTACTTCAGGGATTCCTAATCCAAACAGACCATGACTAAATCTTACCAAGTTTGCTGTAGGTTCTGCTGAACTAAATACTGTTGCAGTTTCACAGTCTGGATCTGGAGGGCATGGGCAAAGTTAATTGAGAAAGTGACATTAAATCTAATCTTTCAGAAACTTTAAGATTGTGATGAATGCATTGCAGTCATCACATGTTATATTAGAAGAGACCAAGTTTTACTCACCTGAAGGTGCATAGATGTATTCTTCGTGAAACTTCCCTAGAAGGGAAAGAACAGGAAGCTTTAATTTTTGCAGGGGGTGGGGAAGGACAGTGTTAGAGTGGAAGCAACCACAATTAACACCTCAGTGCATCAGCTAACATGAAATTGAACTACCATCAGGGGAAGCATAAACACCCTCCACACAATGCCAAGCAAGAACCTGTTATAATTTTATTAAAAGGTTTGAGACAAAACTGACCGCTCCCCCTGTTAACATTATATGAACTATGAAATCATGAGGCACTATTTCCACCTGCAGATACCAAGACAAACTTAAAATTCCAATCTACAAAGTTGCTGTAGTTTATGGACTTTAATCAGAGCTGTAAGGTATTAGACATCAGCTTTCACTTTATGTCAGCTTTGAAAAGAATTATTATCCTATCCCCTCCCCCAACCACCAAAAATACAAGCTCATAATTTCATTTAAAATCTAAAAAATAACTACTGTCTTTGATTGCAAGATAAAGAGGGCACAATCTGAACAGAAGAGGCTAAAGAAACTTGGTGTTCTGGAGGGGGACAAGGAGACAGTTTTTCAAACAAGCAGTACAACCTAACATAATACACTTTCTCTGAACAATTCAGAGCAATGCAACAGCTGAACCAAGATGATGAAGTCTGAAAGTTTCCATTTTTATTCTTCTTTACTGTAGATTGCAGGCACTAATTTAAGACTAAAAACATGAGGAAATTGCTACTGGCACTCGCCAAAACTTTCTTTTCAAAGTTGATAGGATTTAGTTTCCTGTATCTGAGATGCTTCTAGAGAGAAAACAAAATAAAGTCGCACAGAAAAAAGTTTCTCGAACTTCAGCACAGCATAGTTTGACCTAATATACTTTCAAGTGCATATATAGAACTAAAAGCTGAAGAAATATCACTTTGAGAGGCACTATCATCTCATCTGTGTAGAAAAGACAGCAAAAGACATGCACACACATGTTCAAAACACACAATAAATGGATCTTCAGGAGACCCACACAATCCTCTTCAATTATCAGAAGCACACTGCAGATCTTCAAACCTGTCTTTCCTCTCCTCCCACTGATCCTTTCAGAACTCACCGTTTTCACCTGTTTCTTCCAATTCCTCCCCTGAGGAATTCAGGGCCTGCTTATTTACTGGAACAGAGTTGGGGCCTCTCCTTGCTACCCAGAACCCTGCTGGACCATGGACAATGGGAGCAGGGCTGCCCTGGCTCTGGAAAGCAGAAAGCAATAGTGTGCATTTTAGAATCATATACGTCCTTTCCCCATGCCACCGGGGCACAGCAAAGCCTCCTGACACCTTGAAACAGACTGGCAGAAAAAGTTGGCTGCAGCCACTTACTACAGTTGCCATCTGTGTGCTGTTCTTAGCATCCCCCATACAACAAAATACTTGTGGACATGCATCTTCCCTCTAGCTTTTGTTCGCCCAGCACAGAAAAACAGAGGAATTAATCTTTGAAAAAGTTATCACTACCCTGTGCAACCCATTCAAGCATCTCCACTCCACTGTGGAGCCGGCTTTATTTCAGGTTAAAACTAAGTGGGAAGAGGGAGGACAGATCACAGACAGCAGGCCAAGATTCTTTATCTACCTCTAATATAGACTCACACATTCTTCATCCTGGAGCACCTCCACCAAACCAGCAACAGAATGGTTCAAGAGGTTGTTTTTAGCCCCAGTTAGATAGACCGATGAGGTTGGCGATCAGCACAGACTCCACTGCTGGCACTAACTGGACCCATGCATGCAAGCCTGACTTCAAGAGAAGCACCCATCAGGGAATTACCCCTGTAATTCCTCATGTGTCCTCTGTGTGAAAGTCAGTCACCACAAATTAGAAATCTAGAGTCGTCTGAAGAAGTGGGAGCACAGGACTGAGATGCATGAGTACTGGATGTTAATTCACTCTTTTGTAATGGCTAAGGTGACCCTCAATTCTCCTTAGAAGACACGATGGCTATGAGATCAATAAAGTGCTCAGAGAACCTTCTAAATTCCCAAGGTTGAAGTAGAGGTTGTGAGTCAGAAGAGTTTCCCACCAGGCCTCTAGTAGGATGGTAGAGTTTTCTGTGAGATGCCTCTTTCCCCAGGAAATGTTAAATTCCTTTAATAAACAAGACAAGGAAGAGACAGAGAAAAGGCTTTGGCATTGACAAAGTGGTTGAATGAACATGAGAAATTATTCGGTAGCAGCTGCAACAGTTTAGTCTAGCAAGGGGGACAGAAAGCTACTAAGCTATACTGAACTCATGCCTGTAAAAAGAATATTTATGTATTCAGGATAATTTGTCCTTATTACTTGATATTCTTGGTTGAAGTCACAGGGCAAAGATCACAGATCTAGCATAGCAGGAGGCAGCAGCAAACAGCCGCTGAATCTCTAAGTCTGCAATTGTTTCCACTGCTTTCATGCAATAAGGATGTCTCAAATTTACCAGTTTTTAGAAGAGCTGCTTTCTTATTCAGATAGGAAAACATCTAACAATTTTGAAGCAGTTTGAACTAAATTTAGATTTACAATAAATAAATAGAAGACTGATTTAAAATTTTAAGAATGCTGTGCCACTTCATCTACAGACCAGCTTTCAAGACTATTTTAAAAAGTCTAGATTTTGATTCCCCCGCCCCTCCCATTGCTATAACAGAAGATACTGTTTTAGGAACAGCATGCTAGTCCAAGTTATCCCTCCTGTAAATTCATAAGAACAATCCAGACTATCACTCTACAGCTTCTGAATCTAATTACACAAATCATAAATTACAGTGTGGCAAACGAGTGAAGAGCTTACTCCCACAATGTTTAGACCTAGATAGCAGACATCCAGAAGAAGATGTTATTTTATCCAAGCCTCTTGTTATCAAACTGCAATAGAAAGAATAAAGTGATTCTACCTGTATCAAAATAGACTAAGAAAATAAAACAACTGCATGCAGAACACCTAGGGGGAAAAACAGAGACTAAGTAGGTTTTGAAGGCTCTAGCCTCATTTCAGCCTTCACTTCTCCAAAGTATGTTGACTGCTAAAGCTCATCCAAGGAAGCAGAGATGCTGTACTTAGATGAACTGCATTTGTATAACCTTTTATAAATAAATTCTAAAAATAAAATCTCCTGCTCATTACTTACTGGTAAAGGAGGAAAAGCAGTTTCATCTCCTTCTTCAATTTCATAGAAAGTTATTGTTTCTTCTGATCCTTGAGGGTCCTCTCCATTTCCTGGTACAAACCCATACTGACATTCCTTATTCACACACTGCATCTGACGGCGACTACGGCTGTATGAACTTTAAAAAGGAGAGAAGCAGTTAAGAATCACAATAACTGAAGTTTCACTTTGATTTTGCTGTTAGATTTTAACTCTGTCATTTTTGGAGAAGCACGTTCCCATCATCATGCCATTAACAGCCAACTCAACCCTCCCCATCACCACCTCCAACCTTTTTACAGCAGTGTTTTGTAAAGAGGTTTGCAGTCACTTACCGGGACCTGTAGGAGAAATTGTCATAGCTCTGATAGCATCTCTTTCCTGGACTGGGGTAGAATGCTATTTGAGGGCCAACCATGTTGTGCCTGTTTATAAATCGGGCAGATCCCCTAAGTTTAAAGGGCAAAAGGTGCAATTACCAGGAAGTGCCTCTCAGATTGGACTCACTTGTAATAGCTATTAAATAGCACAAACTCTGTCCTAACTAGTCTGTAGCAAGAATGAATAGAGAATGTGTGATGACCTCCAATAGCTTTTGAAGGCTTCCTACCTCGGCATCCCAAATCCACGGCCATGTCTCTGAGGAGGATTCTGAGGATGATAGGGTTCGTAAGGTGCCACGTTTCCACCACCCTGCACACAGTGAACTGGAGAAGAGCACCCTCAGCCGGGGTGGAAGAACTGGCTGACCTCGACTATAGGCCACAGTCATAAAAACTTCCTTTCCACGGACTTTCTTAAGCAATCTCTTCCGCGTTTTCATATCCATTTCTGCAGTTTCAATTGACGACAGAAGAGATGGGCTATACAGATGTCAAACAACTTACTCCAGAGTTATATTCTATCATTTGAAAAGATTATTTGGACTTGATAACACCCTCTGCCCACAAAATATGAGGTATGTCAACTTCATACCATTATTCTGAAAGCTCAGCTGGGCCTTCTAAAAATATGAAGAGATTATAGCATCTCAGTTTCAGTGAGTGTAATTCTTAGTATAAAAATCTCTTCATAAAGACTTATTACAAAAGCATTTTCCAAATCAAATGGAGGCTGTATCTTCTTGGCTAAAGGAGTCCTTGCCCTTCCATATATACCTTCTAAGTCCAACTCGTAAGTTCTTTGACACATGGACACAGGCTTTATATACTGTTCTTAAATGCTGAATTTTTCCTTGGTAATTTTGAGCAATACTAACCCTAGGTATTTTCAATGGCCTTGCTATTTTGCAAGGGTAAATTTATCCTTCTCTGTGAAGGATCACGTTACATGAATCCTCTGCAATGGCAAGCTTTACATCAGGTTTGAGTTAAGTCACTTCAATACTCTAAGACTGCTCCTATTAAAATTGGTCTTCTTTCCCTCAGAAGAGCAAGGAGAAGGGGGGAAAAAAAAAGTTGAAATCCAGTACAAACCTATTCCTGAGAAGTATCCACCTGTTAATTTCTGATAGCTTCCTCCTTTACGGCTAGGAACTACATTCCAAGCAAGGACAGGTGCCACTTGTGTCACGGGTTTTAGGTTTGCCAAAGGAACCATATGCCTATGTGAAAAATACTGACATTAGCAGTGCTGCAAGAATACATCCTACCTAACCACACAGCAGCACAAGCAGAAGCAGCACTGAAAGTCAATGTCTCTTTAAATAGAAAACAACTAGATTTCAAAGCTGTCCCATTCATTCTGAAGTATATGGACCTGCATTCAAAACCTTAATTAACAATTCCAGCTCCAATACACAAATCAATCTTAAGATTCCTCAAAGGTGGGGGGAAAGGGGAGAGGTAAGAATGCAGGGGAAAAGTACAAGCTTGTCTCTATTTACAGTCTTATCCTGTTTCTCTGATATCCAGCATGTTATTGCTATTTTATATTGAAAAAGGCAAGCCAGGATTTAAACTCAACACTACCCTATCAGCCTGCTGGGTTGAATTTCTTCTCTACATTTTCTCTTCTCTACATTTGCATGTTTTTATAGGTACAGCAGAACACAGCATGCAGACATGCCTAATTTTAGATTTGAAGGGGAAATACTTTAAACAACTAGATGAAGGAAGTTATTAGATTTGTTGTCAGAAGAAGTGCCAAATATTTATTTTCGGGGGGATTACAATGTAAACTTTACAGTGAAGTCGGTAACAGGCTAATTTGCTGTCCACAAAGTCAACCCAAACAACGATCACTAAAAACATTTAAGAGGAGACAGAAGAACAAAACTTCTCAATAAGCATCACTGTACTGACTTGGGCTATTAGAAATCAAAGAGAAGAGTTTTCTTGCAACAGTGACAGCCAGCAAGTAAACATATCTCCAGTAACCTTGCTTTTTAAATTTGAAGCCTGGACTCTCCTCTCTTCCTAGACTCTAGTAATCCTACTGAAGGCATCTGTCAGATCCAAGCACACATACTCAACCAGAAAGAGCTCAACATTTTAAGTTGTCACCAGACTGCTTACTTTTCTGCCAGTTCTTCAATGAATACAGTCACCGTGTTGCCATCCTGTCCAACTTCCTGGATATGAGCATTGTAATACTTACCTCCAGGCTCCAGACGTACCTGAAAGAGAACAAGGCAAGCTCTAGAAAAGCCAAATGATATTAGGAGAATCAGAACACGTTCTGCAATCCACTAATAGCAAAGGCCATTTTCTAGTGGACCACAGATTACTGAATTGGCTCAAGAGCTTCAAATATTTCTTCAGCATGGTAGCAAAATAGAGGGCACTATACTAACCTGAAAAAAAAAAAAAAACACCACACCCACAAACCACCCACCACACACACCTTGCTTCATACATCTTGGTAATATGAAGAAAGCTGAACTTCCTTTCAACATCTCCTGCCCCTGTCTTGCCCCTCCTTCCTCTTTCTCCCCCCCCTCCTTCCCTTCTTAATTTACAGAAATATCTGCTACATTGCTGCTGAGTAGAGGGAAGAATGCCCAGACTTGCAGGTGACCCCCAGTGGAAGCTTTAACACATAACTGCCTCAAACACACACTGTTCCTGGAGCTCTCAGTCTGGCAGAATATATACCACTAACTCCCAATGAACTTCAAAGCAGCCTTTTAATCATACTAGCCCATCCTTAAGCTTAGATTTTAAAACAAAATGCAACCAAGATGACAGATTAATAGGTACAAGGAAGGGAATGAGAAAAGCCTTGGAAAATTCTATTAAGTTAATCGATTGCATGACTTAACCACACTCCATTTAAAGCAATATTAATAACTTATCACACCTGAATCTGCTTCAAGTACTAACCTGACACTTGTCTCCTAAATAGTACTGTCGCCCAGCAAACACCATGTAGTCTGTTTTTTGAAGTTCTACAAACAAATAAAAAGGGAAAAGTCTTTAAATTACTGCTTTTTCTTCATGTATACCTCCAAGTATTTCGTGACTTCAGCACCCAACCACCAGCCATGAGCAAAATGAGTTAATTATTTCCCTATGCATAGCTGAACATTCCCCATAGTGATAATGAACTGAAGCTGTTGTTCTAACATAAACCATAAACATACTAAGTTACAGATGATTAATAATATCTCAATATTACATTAAGTAGCATTATTACTTCAATATTATAGTGTCCTTTCAGATGGCACTGAATTAATCCTGCACAATACTAAGAATGCTGGTTATTCCTTGCATTATTAAAGCCCTGTTGGCATTTGGTAAAAAATGAGATGCTGCCCAGAAAAAACAAATATCCCTTAACATCTCCCTTGCTGCCAGTTGTCAACAGGTTTTTCTTCATTCCTTACCCAGAACCTCTGCACATCAGTACTTCGCAAAGATAGTAAGTTACTATACTCTGTTCCCAGAATTTCAATGGCTCTCATTATTATTTATGCACTTACACATTGTAAAATGTTCGACTTCATCAGTACACGGAGGAACTGGGGTGTTTAGGGGATGTCTGACCCCCCCAAAACTCTTCTTTCTTGGTAGCATCTTTCTCTGAAGGTCAACCACATAAGATACGCAAAAATGCTGCTACCTAACCCATGCTATGAAGACTATAAAGACTCCTCCATAACGTTCAAGCCCAGGGGAGCTGGGAAGACAGGGACAACTCATCTCATTTGGCACACCTCAACGCTAAACCTGACACTTTCCTTATAATACAAGTCTAAAGCTGAAAGCTTGCATAAAAAGCAGGAGTCCTTGCACAGATGCTGCTCCTAAAAATGAGCAAAAAACCTCAACTTCAATGATTGCTTATATGAAAAGCAATATAAAGCAAAATCCTGTTTTGTACTGTACTTCAAATCCTGATACTGTCTACACCACACTCAGCAAGTGTCAGAGGTCAGATTTTTAGCAATCTGATAACTCTATAAAAATAGTGTATTTGGCAGTTTGAAATCAAGCCCCAAAAAACAGCTAGTGGCCAGAGGACATACAGCTGACAACTCTCCATTCAAATAGTAACTGCCCTTCACATTTCAGTCATGCTGAGGTGCGTCATAGACCTTGAGGTCTATATGCATCTATGGATGCATAAAATTAACCTCAAATGCAATTTAAAATATGTAAACTTTCTACTGAAATATACCTTTTCTGCTGTCCAGCCAAACATCAAACTCTACATTTCGATAGATCTCAGGGTCCAGAGCCTTTAGCACTTTATATGGAAAGGGCATCTTCGAAGGATTTTCTGGAAGCTAAAATAGAGTTGAAACAGACTAAAATTAATAAGTGTGAGATGCTCAGAAGCCTCTATCAAACCAGCACCTGCAGATGATTTTAGCATAGGCACACACTATGTTTCCAACTTTTTCCGTCTGCTTTCCTAATAAAACTCAAAAATATGAACATGCACAGAGATTCTTCAGCTCAGAAACTGAAGAAACAGACCGTGAAAGGTTAAAATTAGCTCAAGAATAGCACTTAGCCTGTTCTTTACTCAAGAGTATCAAAAGGAAGCTAGTTAAGACCAACGAAGCCATCACTTCCCAGTTAGCAGGAATTTCAGCTATTATGTCTGAAAACAATTTTTCTGAAGAATTTTTGAAGCCATCCAGTACAGTAACTTATACTGTGTTCACACTGAAAGGGAATGGAGTTAAGCCATAAAGAACATTAAATGCTTGTTAAGTTCTACCTTTGGGAAAAAGCTAGGAAGAAAACAGAAAAAAAAAGCATTCAGAAAGGTTGCAGGGCTACCCAAAACCAAAAGAGACAGGCAGATGATAAAGGGAAGTGACATTCTAGCCACCCCACCCTGTAACTTTTAAAGAGCGGAAATGGGGATTTAACCTCAACCAGCATAATATTTTACGACAGGGTATTTTTTTTTCCCTTAGCTGCCAAACCTTTGCTTCCTCAGTGCCTTGCTTGAATTTCTCCTCCGGTGGGTTGTCGCTATCATTGCCTTCCCAGTCTTCCATTCTAACCAATTCAAAATAAGATTACAAGAGATACAAGACATGATTTTGATCCTGGTTAGAAATTAAGCAAGTGTTCATACAACCTAATAAAAGCATCACAGTGCCATCAAGTGGTGGATTTTGCTTTTCACTCTTGTCTTTACTGCAATACAGCACAATCCAGTGAGTCTTCTAGTTGCAAGAAAAAACAAACAAGTTTTACCTGTTCCAACACCCAGCCCTCTAACAACAGCCACCGTGTTGTATAAGGATCAGTCAACAAAGTCCCCCCCGACAGTGATTGCACTGCAAGAGCACCACACAGTCCCATGCTATAAGCCCAGCAGTTCCCTATCAAGTCAACATGACTTACAGGTGCTCAGTAATAGGCAGAGGCACCCCTCAAGCCCTGGGGTGATCAACACAGGAATATGGAACACAGGTTTCCAACACAGGATACAAGGGTTTCACAAACACATTCTGCTCACTCACTTGCAAGACCCCCCATGATCCAACAGACAGTGGTTACACAGAAGCTTTATGAATAATGCAACCATTTAATTGTCTATTTGGAACACAGTTCTGTTAAAAATGGACCAAAAAAAGCAGCTCACTTTCCATGAGCATTTTTGCCTCTACAGGGGCTTAGAGTTAATAGTTTCTCACTAGAGGGCAATTGCAATGACATAAGGAAGGAGCTTAGTTACAAATAAGCTGTCATTTTTAGAGTCACCCACAAGTGCAGCATAGCCAGCAGCAGAGGATGCTCAGTTGCATGACACTTCCCAACTCCCGGGAAAACTGTCTTTCACAATACACTTCAGCTTTGCATTTGTGTCATGAGATTTAAAACCACACACACACACCCCAGCACCCCACAGGCATTCAGAGAAACACTGATAAATCAGCCTAAATTACTGCCATTTGCAAAGGTTTTAATTCTTTTGCTTCCCCCTTGCCACGTTATCTTCCCAAATACTACCTCTTTTCTGGCGAGATTTTGGATACTTTTTCAGGAAAACAATCGAAGTTTGCATCCTCACTTCCTACAGCACCATTGTTCCTGTTCTTCTTAGACCCACTTCGAAACATCTCAACTGCAGACCTTAATTCTTCCTCATCCATGGCAAATACATCTTTGTACAGGATCTCATACAGTACAGCTGGACAGAAATCAACACAGAGCTCAAAAATTGACACAATACCCCATGCACAAGAACAGCTGCAGTTTTGAAAGTAAACATATCTTCAGATATTGCATACTGTTTACAAGGCATTAGTTATATTAAATTCAATTAATGAGAGAATCATAGGTTCCTTTTGGCTTAAGTTATTCTATCAAGGTAATCTAGTCCAATACCCACCTCCAAAAACAGTATAAGAATTATATGTATATGAAAGTATAAACAAGCTTGACTCTCCCTCCCACTCCCCATACTCCTAAAAACAGAACATGGCTTAGCAATATATGAAAAGACATCGTTCTCTTTCACAAAGGAAAAAAAAAGAGTTTCAAGTTTACCCTGGCAAATAGCAGCATTTGCCTGGAATTGTTTTGTATACACAGAGTCATAATGGCCATTGCCGGAACAACACAGTAAAATCTGGGAAAATAAAAACAAAAAAAAGGCTTTAAGATGGAATGATGTACAAATCTAACAGTGTCTACATGACAGTCATCGTAACTCAGAACTAGGATTTTCTTCCATTCTACATCCAAAACTAAAGTAAACAAATATTATCATTTTAAATATGAAAAGCCTGTAGAACCAGCTAAAAATTGCGTTTTAGTTAAAGTTCATAAATAATTGTCTTTTATACAAACAAAAACTGTTGACTTGCATGCCATGCTGTCTTAAGACAAAAGAATTGTTTCCAGCTTAACTCTGAAGCCAACATTTGTTCAAGAGTTAAAATAAACACAAACTATTACAGGCCAAACCCTGCCCAAGCATCAAGGGCATTTTCCTACCCACATGGCTAACAGCAGCATCTATAGCGATAGAGGGCTCAGACTGGAGGTTATACAGAGTATTTCTCTTTTAAGATCATTTTTCCCCAGCAATAGTTTTCTTGTGAAAATAAGCTGTTCCAATAGCTCTGATTCTCAACTGGGACCAATATGTACCTCTCAGCTGAGTGAGTGCATCAGGTTTGTTAGATTAATGCATTTCCATTGATTTCAATGGAAAAACACACCTGTCATCTGACTTCACAAAGAGAGGCCTTAGGGGCAATGGAGAACACTTTCTCCTTACCAATATGATAAATCTGTCTTGTCTTGCTCTTCAGTAACTCAGTCCAGATGTTTCATTCTACCTAATCAGATCAGCTAAATTGACAGTGGGAAATGTTTTTAGTCAGCAGAATTTCAGGAACATAAAAGCTGATCAAGTAGGGAGATTCTGGAACTAAAAGTTCCCTCTTCCTGCCAAAATTAAACTTGTTTCCAATAACAAATTGAAATAACAAACAAAATTGGCAGGGGAACAGCACACAAGGCATCCCTCAGACAGAAAGGGGCTTCACTGTAAGTTGATTAACTGTTGTACAAACAGCTGGTTATCCCTGAGCTAAAACTGCAGAGCTAGTTTCATTGAGGTACATGAGAGATGCAGACTCTGCTGGAGTTGGCGGAGTAAAAGTTACATGAGCAGAAGGAGCCAGGGGAGGGGTAGGAAGTTGCCTCACTTGTCCTCACCTTGTCTTCAAAGCCATTGTCTGTAGCATAGGTGGGTGGCTTTCCAGGGTACCGGTACAGAATAAAGTCTCGACTAGGTAAGCAGAGGAGAAACAAAACTTGAAAGACTGCACTCTCAGTAAACCATATCATGATGAAATTTCAAAGCAGCTGTTCGGAGAGTCTGCTGTTGGGTTGTAGCAAGTAAGCAGAATACTTTCTCTGATAAATTAGTGCTATCATAAGGCAATAGCTAGATGAGCAAACTGCACCCATCTTAAGAGATCTCTAAAGAAAACAGTTACATCTAACCACAGGTAACAGAAGTATGCATTATATTAGTTCAGATATTTATGACAGAGTGTTCAGCCAGGGGAATGGTAAAGTTCAGGAGATAACATCCTGTGAAAGGATTAGCACCTCAGTAAAGGAGACTAGCAACTCTTGCAAAAGTCCAATTTGTTCATTTAGCACTGCAACAGATCCAGTTTGCAAGGGCAGGTGGCTGCTTCCTGCCGCTGAAGGTCAGATTTTGTTCATCAAAAAGCACTTTTAGCAAGACAGCCAGCACCTGCAGCAAGCTTATATTACATCTTAAATAAATTTCAGGGTTTACATGCCAAGTAGTCCTCACTACTAAAGCTTTCAAGAACACGTGTGAGTTTTAGGCATTCCTAAGACTACCACACAGTATTTCCACTATACACAGCTTCAAGTTGTGTCACGTTCCCTCTCCTTCTACTACTGGAAGGAAATATTTGATTCCAGAATAGAACATCAGGGAAAAGATACCACAAACATCACTGGAATTGTCTTTCCTCATGATCCACACAACTGCTATCAAAACAAGGGCTTGGCATGGTGACATCCACTTAAACATTAAAGTAACTTGGTCATAGTGGCATTTTTACCACATTTAACAACACGAGTAGAGCAAACTAGCAAAGGTCTGGGGAAGAAGGCCAGAATACAAATGCTTTGCAGGCCAAAACACAGGGAAATTTAAGGAAAATGACACTTACTTGTAGATTACTGACAGGGCACTTATTTCCAGCTGGCCAGCACTTTCCTGTGAGAGATTAGGAAATTACATGAAATAGCAGAACTTTCTTCAATATTGCGAACTTTATACCAGATCTCTGCAGTGTTAGGTTAACCAAATCTATGAGTTTGCTGAAAAGAAAACAACCAACACATCAAGAGGAGAGATATCAGAATTTCCTCAAATAACTACAGCAGGGAATGGCCATGGTCACCACACTGATGGCAAAAGATGCTGCTACTTCTGGCAGCTAAGAGAGGCACTCACGCATACTTTAAAAAAAAAAAAAAAAGGCATTTTTTTCAGACTTTGTTGCAGTCACCGTATTTACTAGTTAAAGTTTAAAAGTATAGCATTCAAATAACTGGGGTAAAGGAAGAAGAAAAGGTTACAAAGACTGATTAATATTTGCTATGAGGTACAGTTCACATATTTTTCTTCTAACTTCTTAAAGAGAAGCTGAAATTATAAATAAGGGTCATGAGAGTGACCTCGGCTTTACTGTCTGGTCTGTATAGATGGCTCCTTTGCACATGAACTCCCACTGAAGTTTTTGTGTGTTTTCATGCCATTGAGACTCCAAGACTGGGGCCTAAATAATAATAAAACATTTTAAACCAATGCCCATTTACTTTCCTGATTTTTTCTCCTCAAATTTTAGTACCTCTCACAAATATTGGGCCAGCCTTACCTTTGGATCTCCCAGGCGCTCCAGGTACTTCTCAAACGAGCCTTCCACGTACTTCAAATAAACAAACAAACAACAACAAAAAAAAACACAGAAAACTGAGCCAGATAATAATCATAACTACACTATGTCAGGTAATATTACTAGCTGTTAAACAGGACACCATGGCAAGCTGTGCAGGGAAATCAACATGGAAATAAAACAAGAGGCTTGGGGCTACTTGGTCAGCTCTCACTCCCACAAGGCTCTGACTGGGGAAACTGCTTCAGCTGCTCCCTGCCTTAAGGCACAGGAGTTATGGGGGGGGGAACTACTGGTAAAATACCCTGGTAAAAATACCAGAGTGTCTACAAAAAATAAATAACTACAACGAAGCTCACCACTTCCCTCCTCCTATAGTACGCTACACCCTTGACTAACACAGAAGCTAATATCACCCATCCCAGCTGTCCTGTGTTAAGCCCCAAGAACTCTTCACAGGGATTGGGGGGGGGGGAGAAGATAGGGGGGCGGTTTGGTCTAAGCAACAGGTTCAGATACAACCAGATGGCTCTGATTACCCCAGTATGGCTGCAGGTGGACAAAGGATGAGGGTAAACAGCAGCAAAAATAGAAGTTTATATATACATATATACACACACAAAAATATACACACATATATATTCACACACATATATAAGTCCTCAACACTCAAACTCAGAAGAATTAAAAAAGGATGCAGCCACACAACAGAATCGTTGTCGTCATGAAGTAACCCTAACGAACGACCCAAACGCCGAGTTTTACCACCTAAACGCAGCTTTTCAGCAGCACTTTACCCCTTGGCAGGCTGTCGCCCCGCACTCACCGACTCGAAGTTGCGCTGGTGCTGCCTCATGAAGGTGACGCACGCCTTCCTCACCGCGGGGTGGTGGATCTGGCATGAAAACAACTAGAGAAAAAAAAAAAAAAAAGTTTTTGGGGTGGGGGTGATGCAGATGCAGCCGGGGCCGCGCGCAGCCCGGCGCCCACCTGCTCCGAGATGGCGCGGAAGAGGCACGAGGCGTCCTTGGCCGTGAGCTTGCGGTAGAGCCCCAGGCTGCCCAGGTACTCGTCCATGGTGACCTCGCTGAGGGACTTCTGCCCGAAGTACTTCTTCCAGCCCTTGTACATGGTGCCCGCGGGGAGGAGGTGGGAGCGGAGGCCGGGGCTGAGCGCGTGGCGGGGGGGGGGGCGGGCGGCGC